TTTTCCCGCTACAAATTAAGGCCTGTTTACGGTGTAATTTAGCCGGGGTTTCGCCTGGAGGGCTCTAAATATATCTGGCAACCTATTGAACGGAGTTGAACTGAGAGAGCGTGCCGTTCACAGACACCAGAATGAACGAGTTCACAATAACGTTCATCAGGCAGTAATGCAGTACGTTCAGTTCACGTTCGCCCAAAATATGAACGAGTTCATGAACTTTCGTTCAATGAACGCGTTCAGGCACAACACTGTCTATGACCTCAACATATCTGAAGCGGTGTGAAGTATTGTGATGTAATGCAGTGTACAGTAGATATATTTTAATATAGGGTGACCAGACGTCCCCAATTTCTGGGGGCAGTCCTTGTTTCGACCACCTGTCGCCGGCTAAAGCTGTCCCCGATTTCACCGTTTTATGAATGAGGGGGGAAAATGTTGCATATAAACTGTTATTATAGTAGAAAGAGTGTGCGAGCATGCTGCACACAGAAAAAGCTGTTAACGTATAGATAAGGAGCAGAGTGCACCAGTTTTATACTGTTAATATTAACCTCATTTTGGGAATTTCTCACCTATTTTGCATACCCAAAAGAGCATGAAATATTATCGTTAATGTTAATATATTGATGTGGATAATTAACCACATTGTTTTTGTTGTCAAGTAATTGTTAATATATGAAAAGTTAAAATGTTTTTAATATTCCACTTAAGAGTATTACTGCTGCCACTGTCTGTATTAGGGGGGAAAAAACGGTAGGGGTGGCCAATGATTGGCTAAGGCCCCCTGGCCCCCCATCTAGCTCCGCCCCTGCCTGGCAGTAGCCAGATTGATGTGTGTCGAACTGAGTTGAGTTCTACGTTATCAATCAGGGATGGCTGCCGTTCAGTCTGACCATGAAAAGGACGACGACAATACTTCGAGCTGATTGGGTTACATGCCAGCTAGTTCCCGCCTTCCATGATACGCTTTCAGCCCATCGTAGCAGCGAATCATGACGTCTTGTAAGCTGATTAATCAACCTTTTTCCAAATCCTGTCAGAAGAAAAAACAAAGACATCTTTCCGATCTACAAAAATGCACAAAGTGCTTTTCTTTGCTTCTTTTTAAACGAGAAATTGTCGCCATTTTAGCTAAAACTGAGTCAATTGCGATATCAACAGGTAGTCCTCCAGCGTAGCCATGTTTGTAATCTCTCTGTAATCCATTCTTACATGTCCTGCTCCAAAAGACACTGCTGGAATGTCATTGGTCCGACCCGCTGGTGGTTTGAAAACGGACGTATTAGCAGGAGTCTTTAAAGATGGATGTTTTTTGAGACTGAAAACTCAGATGTTGCGACAATCCACGGGGAATCGCTCAATCGGCTCATAACCTCTTAGATTACCCTCACAGGGTCTCTAAGTGCGATTTATTAAGTTAGTGCTGCTTTAACAATCAAATTTAGGGCTTTTTTAGTAATTAAATATTTTCCCTGACACATCAAAATGATTTAATGAGCAAACAGATAAAACGACACATTTAACGACTTCAGATGATCCTCTAAGACAAATGCATGAAAGATAAAATGTATGATACAGCTTAATGTTTTTTCTTTTGATAAAACAATTCTACGTTTAAAAAGCAATAATGTAGCATGTTCTAATAACAATATGTCACACGGCTACCCTGCTCTGCTTGACGTGGCTTAAGGTCCTCCTGCACACTTCCTTCTGACTATTTAAAGGTTTTCTTTTGTTTTTTTTAGTTTAACGTAACAAACCATTCTGTGCCAATTTACATCACCTTGTTTGTTACTGCAAAATGGGAAAAAAGCTAAAACATATTGTCTGCCACCATTAATAAAATGCTACATTCTTTTTTCAATATCCTAAAGTGTTTTTCTGGCACTAATTCAAATTACAAACTAATCCACAGAAGAGACCTGCTCAGTTCTGATGCGTCTCAGCAGGTTTGGTATGAAACCTTCTCTTAAAGAGATTTTGTGACGAAGGCCCTCTTGCTTTGTTCTTCCCAGTATCTTTAAAGGAG